ATCATGGTTTGTGAAATACAATAGCCTGCAGTGAAGGAAAATTAAGATGTGCCTCATATTAGATAATTGCAGTGGCTTTCTACATACCTACCTACCTACCTACTCTGCCCGTGCACAAATTGCATCAGTTTAAATAAAGTGGTTGAGTTAAATCAATACAGTGTTTATGCTATAGGCAAGATTGAAGTGCTAAGTTGCATAATTACTGTTTTATTTTCCCACAATAGTCTTGTGCTGTTCTGAAAGTATTCAGTCGTTAATAAAATGATAAAAGTGCCATCTAGAACAGGAATTCTATTTACTCATGTCTACACCTATTTATTTATTTATTACATGGATGAACCTACAAAGCAAAAGAAAAGGCTTTGCTTTAGAGGCTCCTTCACAATCAGATGTACAGTGACATCATTAATCCTGTCATTCTTTTTCTTACCATGTTCACAATATTGGTAGCTTCACACCAAACTTATTTCAAACTCTTTAGGTCTAGGGAGAGCATGGAGATGGGCCTAATACTGTGCTGTGGAGCTCAACTAGCTTTGTTTCAAGCTCGGTTGATAAAGGACTGTTTCAAAAGAGATCAATATGGAGAATTCCTTTCTAGTTGCCTCCTATTTCAGTTCTCTCTGTGATCTTTTCATCTGTGGATGGGTTTCCCACTTGCAGAAGCAATCCAGGTAGGTAATCTTTTAAGGACAGTTCTCCATGTTGTTTCTGTATTCTTCCCACAGGCCTTATGGTGGAAAGCCTGAGCAAATTCAATAACTAGTTTTGCAAATATTTTACAGCTGGAATCTTAACTGAATTCCATCAGACTGCAGCCATGGCCAGGGCCTAAGAAAAAGTATAGAAACTGGACAGGTGCTAGGCTTTTTCATTAGTACTTCTTGGTCTTGGGCTTTTGGGAGTCCAGTAGCTGAGACCTCCTTAGTCTGTGAAGCTGTCTTGCACTGCCATTTCCCAAATCTCACCAGAAAAAAGTTGGCTGGTATTTTTGAAGTGGTGTGTAGTCTTTGTGTAGAAAAATGAATTTAGTAATTAAAATGACTTAACTGAAATTTCAGCATGAATTTCATGTGGAAATTCCTACATTAAATTCCAGGATACTAAATTTCTGTGAAATCTACACTCTTTTACAAGGAGTTTGAAATCTGTTTGTGGAAGTTGCACTGGGGAGCTGTGCTGCTGCAGGAACTAAGAGGGCAGTGCAACAGTCGATTGAGTTGCATGATAATTTTGGAAAGGAAAATGTAAAATAGTCTGCCACTTTAACTGAGAAGTAATTTTTTATAAAAAATAAGCAAATTTTTCTAGCATAAACACATGGTAAAAACATAGACTTCTATGAAATGTTTATATGATTTTGTGAATCAAAATTTTCTAATTTCTTAAGCCTCTGAAATGATGCAAAATAATAAAATACTTGAATTTTGGTTTCTTGTCCTTGAAACAGGTGCTTCTCAATGCAATTAAACCTTACGCAAGAAATACTATTTTCATCACTGTTACATTTTAAAAGTTTTAAAGATCATGGCATCGTGCCTCTCTTGAAGGTAACAGCTACAGAACACAATTCTCTTAAGTGTTTTTTTAAAGCCCTGTTTCTACAATCGAAGATTTCCCTGAGATAGCTGGGTTGTTAGCATATCAGTGCACACATAATTGGGTTATGTGGCCTCACAACAGTAGTAAGGTATTAAGGGTTCTTCCATTCACCTGTCTTTACAATGTTTTCATGCTCTGTTTAAAAAAAAAAAAAAAAAAAGACCTCACTGCTTCCAAAAGACTTGATGTAACACACTTGTATTACTGTCGTTGGTAAATGGGACAGCCCGTGTAAAATCAGTTGAGAAGATGCATGAAAGAAAAATGTACGCAGGGCCGAAGAGGAAATGAAGACAGCTATAGCAAAATAAGTTTTCCATTGTTATGGTTGACTGTTTCAAATATCTCGTTAGTATTCTAATAACTCACCTGCTAAAACACCAAACTGGAGTTGGGACACACAGGTGGCCAGTGTTTACAGATCGCTCTGCATGGGGTACAGGTGCAGAGCCTTACTCAGGTCTGCTGGTTTTGGCTGGGGTAGAGTTAATTTTCTTCACAGCAGCTAGGATGGGGCTATGGTTTGGATCTGTGCTGGAAACAGCGTTGACGGTTTTGTTCCTGCGGGCTCACACAGCCTCAAGCCCTTTTCTGCCCCTCAGAGTGCCCTGCCAGCGACCAGGCTGGGGGCGCACAAAAAGTTGGGAGGGGACACAGTTGGGGCAGCTGAGCCCAGCTGATGAAGGGGATATTCCATGCCATATGACGTCACGCTCAGCATATATAAAGCTGGAGGGGAGGTTGATGGAGTGGGGAGGGCTGCTCGGGGACTGGCTGGGCATCGGTCAGTTGGTGGTGAGCAATTGTTTTCATTTGCATCACTTGTCTGTCTTGGCTTTTATTTTCCTCTCTCTGATTTTTTTTTTCTCCTTTCCTTTCAGTTTTGTATTCTTATTTCTTTTTAATTGTTAAACCACTTTTGTCTCAACCCACAAGCTTCTTTCTCACTTCTACCCTTCCAATTCTCCCCCATCCCACCAGGAGGGGGGAGTCAGCGAGCAGCTCTGTGGTGCTGTTGCCAGCTGGGGTTAAACCATGACCCTCATGTTGTAGGACCCATTGTATTTGACTTCCGTAGTTTAAATTTCTTTTTTCCTATTTTGTCCAGGTGCTGTAATGTGGTAATCTTTTTGCTTCATCAAATGTCTCAACACATAAGATACAGCACAGAGATGAATTAACATGCCAAGCATAATTCAGCTGCTCTGGCTATTTATTGTTTCCTTCATTTGCTCCTTCGAGGCATTTGACTGACATCTGCTATTTTAACAAAATGACCGTTGGCTAAATCAACAAACCATCACAAAGGACCTTTAGACATACAAGTTAGAACCAGTGACTTGTTTTTGTTAATGTACTGTTCATTGTGTTTGCAAAGGCATCCGAATATCCCATTGCATTGTTGTTGAAATGATGCTGGTAATATTAGCAATGTAAGAATTATGATTTAATTACACGTTTTATTACTGACAGTAGCTCGTATGAGATACTTCGAGTGAAATTTTAAGAAACTCCAAAATGACCAATTAAGTTTTAAAATAGGATTATTGTTGTAACTACAGTGATGGGAAACAACGGATACAGCTGGGGAGAGCAAGGTCAACTTTCCCTAAGTTACTAAAATGATCTGTTGTTGACAGA